TTTTATTTTTATTTATTTATTTATTTTTTTTTCTCGTTCTCTCTTCTTGCCCCAGTCGTGGGCCTTGATGGACTGTGGTGGCTTAAGATATTTGTGCCAAGATATATATTCCCATGCAGGTGATGACGTGGGGCCAAATACTGAGCCAGGTTTTTCTCCAGTTCTCTTTTAAAAGTTCCAGATAACCCATCTCTACAGCCAGAGCTTCAACAGATGGGTTATTCCATACTCAGATCTGAACCTTAAAATCCAGTGGTAGGGTATACAATTTCTCATATTCCTAATTATGTCCTCCTGAGACCGAAGGTCGTTCCCTCCTTCCCAGCCTTTCCAGGGGTAACCTGGAATAGGAACAATACTCCAAGGAGAGTACTTTCCTTCTTCATTTAATACTTCATTTTCCAAATGGCTAGGGAGGCTCGTTAACTCTTTGGGGAGACCAGAGGCAGACACTGACTTTTTAGTGGATCTAAGCAAGTAAAGGTAGGCCTTGGGAACAGCATTTGGACTTGGAAGTGTAAACTGTTGGTGATACGGGATCCAGAGAGGGTGAGCGGGCAGATGTACAAGGCATCTTCCCAACTCAGGCCCGAGTGTTGCAGATCTGAATGAAAAGTTTCCAACCAACGAATTCTCTTCCCAAGAGCCAGGAAGTAAGAGTAAAGCTTGGTGTATAATCCTTTGAGGTCATTGGTGGACTATGCAAAAATTTCACAAAGCTCTGCCATTCCATTGGATTGTCCATTGTGTCAGTGGTTCCCAAATGTGAGCATCAGCATTACCTGGAAGGCTGGAGTTGTTTGATGGGTATAAAGTTTCAGTGTTGCTAGATGAATAAGTTCTAGAAATCTGCTGTGCAGCGCTGTGCCTGGAATTAACAATATGATATTGTGCACTTCAGAATTTGTTAAGAGGGTAGCTCTCACGTTAAGTGCTCTTACCACAAAAACAGAAACAGAGACACAAGGAAACTGGGAGGTGTTGGATGTGTCTGTTACCTTGCTTTTCATAATGGCATCACGGTGTTTGCATGTGTCCAAACTCATCACAGTGTACCCGTTAAATACGTGCAGGTCTTTGCATATCAGTATTCCTCAGTAAAGCTGTTAAAAACACACAGAATAAAAAAAGAAAAGCCAACGCAGATTACAGAGCCTCACTGGCAGTTTCCCTTCCCTTACAGTAAGCCTGGGGTGAAGCCTCCTAATTGACATTTCCAGCAGTTCCCTAGTGAGAACTATTGACCCAGGCAGGGAGGAAAGCAAATTATTTCTGGAACCTGGACCCCGGCATGGTTGTGTCCTTTATACTCATCACACTGATCCAATGGATGGAGGTCAGACCCACTTTGAGGAAGACCTACACGTTCAAAGAGGAAGAATTGTCCCGACAAAGCTCCTGACCTAGAATCCTCCCATTCTCAGGACGTTCAAATACCAGTTAATTAGAAAATTTGCCTTTATTGCTTACATTTTTGCTGAAAATACATAATTATCATAAAAAAATAAGACAATATAGAGAGAGCAAATGTTCCCCCCATTTCCCCTGGAGCAGTGATTCTCAGAGCACTGTTTGGCCAAATCTGGAGACACTTTGGGTTGTTACTCCTGGGGGAGATGCCACCGGCATCCGTTGAGTAGAGGCCAGGGATGCTGCTTCCTAACTACAATGCAGCCCCACACACAAGGACTCTCCAACCCAAAATGGCAAAGGATCTAAGATTGAGAGTCCCTGCTCTTAAGGTAACCACAAGGAAAAGTTTGTTATCAACTTTGAGAGGTTTTTTTTTTTTTTTGGTGTGTATAAAACATATGCACGTGTAATTAAAAAAAAAACACAAATGAGTTCATACTATATACACTGTTCTGTTTCGCTCTGTAACACGGGTGTATGTATATAAAATAGGACCTGGCCATCATTCCGGTGTTCACAGATACAAGTCTACCTTATTGAAACAAAACAGTTGCACAGCATTCGGTTATGTGGATATACCACAGTTTATGTCACCAATCCCAAACCCAGAGACAGTCAAGTTGTATCTCTGTTAAAAGGTAAACTGAGGAGTATTAAAAATTTTAAGAGTTAATTTGAGCAAAAAATCGATGAGAATCAGGCAGCACCAAACAGGAAGTGGTTTGGAGCTCTCTGGAAAGACTTATAGAGAGAAAGGTGCAGACGCAGAGAAAGGAAATTATTTGACTGGCTGTCGCTTAAAGCCCAGTTGGCTCTTTGTGATGGTTGTCGTCAGTGCTTTGATTTCATAACCTCGAGGCATTTACAGACTTAGATTTTGGTGTGCTCACTGAGGGCACCGTGTCATTAGGGCCACATTAGTCTAATGGCCTCCTTCTTTTAAAAAAAAAAATTTTTTTTTAACGTTTATTTATTTTTGAGAGAGACAGAGACAGAATGCGAGTGGGTTAGGGGCAGAGAGAGAGGGAGACACAGAAACCGAAATAGGCTCCAGGCTCTGAGCTGTCAGCACAGAGCCCGACGTGGGGCTCGAACTTGCAAGCCGCGAGATCTTGACCTGACCGAAGTTGGCCGCTCAACCGACTGAGCCACCCAAGTGCCCCTAATGGCCTCCTTCTTTAATTAATCTAATATCTTACTTCCTTGCAGTTATAAGCAAAACAGGGGAGCATTCTCAGACTTAAATTTTTGTATTCCCTTTGTGATTGCCTCAGTTTTCTCATCCATAAACTGGGCACAGTAGCAGTACCTACGTCGTAGGGTGTTTTATTAAATAGAAAGTAAGCGTATACAGAGCACTTAGCACAGTGCCTGGCCCACAGAAAGCACAGTCTGTGTTTGCTCTTATTACTACAGGACTAGATTCCTAGAACTGCTTTAATCTTTCAGGTTAATTGTTTGGCGTGGAAATACTGGGAGGTCTCCAGATCCTCTCTGCCGCCCTTCCTCTTGGCTGCCCTCCCGTAAGTGAACATTGGCTCCCCTCTCTGGCCCAAGAGTGAGATTGGTGGGAGCCATCCAAGTCATCTACCCCCGGGTTTTTGTGAGGAACCAGAGACAGAGTGGAGAGTGTCTTCCACGGTTAAGCCCTTGCAAATCAGGATTTAAATTCTGAGTCCCACGTAAACGTTTCAGACAGACACTCTTGCTTTTTTTCGGTTATTTAAAAACCAAAGCCAAAGCAACCCAAGCCTGAGTGAATGTCCTTGACACAGGTCCCATCTGGGCTGGCCTCTCAGCTGTGCCAGGCTCCAAAGTGATCAGGGCTGATGTAAGTCATGGGGATTTCTCCTGGTATGTGTGGGCATTCAGACGTGGGAGGGCGCAGCCCTGCTTTTCATAGTCTGGACACTCTTTCCTCTTCTCTTTATTTCCCTCTTCCTTCTCTTGCTGTTAATTGCCCTCATTTCTTCAAAAAATATTTACTGAGTGCTTACTGTGTCCTCAAAGGTAATTTATTTTCCCCTGTACGTGAGCTTACAATCTTGGGGAGGAGGAATAGACAAGCATGAAGTCAATTACAACGTCAAGTTGCTCTTTGGTTGAAAGTGATAAAGCCTTAGCTCAAACTGGCTTAGACAGTAAAAGGCAGTTTTGGTTCCAGGTAACTGGAAAATCCAGGGATAGACTTCAGGCATGGCTGGATCCAGGGTCTCAGTGGTCATCTATCTGTCTTTTAACCCAGCTTTCCTCTGTAGGCTTCTCTATTAGACAACTTCTTTCTCCGTGGTTGTGTCTGGCCGATTCAAGGTTATATCTTCCTGGTTAAAAGACTTTTTCCCCTCATCCTTCTCAATAAGTTTTGAGTCTGACTGAGATTAGGGGAGATGGGTAACTTTGACTGGCTTAGTTTGGTATTACATCCCCGGAGCCAAGAGTGAAGCGGGGTCCACTCCAAACCGCAAGGTTTTCGAGTGAAGCAGGTGGTTCTCTAAGAGAGCCAGGTGCTGCTACCATGGGAAGGAGTGAAAGGCACAGGGCACGGAGGGGGACTTGTCTCCTTCCGACTGGAGAGTCGGAGGAGACTAAAGTAAAGCTCAGAGAAGGAGCTGGCGTTTTGGAGTTCGAGATGGACACTCCAGGCAGGGGCACAGGGATGTTTGGTTCAGTGAAGCACTCTGGGGAATGCATGGTGTGTGTCTGCAGAGTAGCTGGGAGAGAGAAGGCCAGAGAGGTAAGGGACAGTCCAATCAGGGAGGGCCTCTGTGACACCCTGAGGTATTCCTCCTGTATTCCTGGCACGATCCTCAGGTTTATGTTTCAGAGATGGTTACCTCTGTCCATGCAGTGGATGGACAGGGGGCCTGGCTGGAAGGAGGGAGACAGTGAAAGCTTGTTTCTACAGCCTGGCCCTTGGCATGGCTGTTTCTTTCCACTCATCCACATCCCAGCTTAAATACCTCTGTCTTAGAACGGGCCCCCCAGCTGTCCTTACCATCATTCTCCACTGCAGAACCATTTTCATTTATCACTGGCTGAAATGGCCTGTTTTATTCACTGGTTTCTGTTGTCTTTACTCTACTAGGATGAAGTATCCTGAGAGCGAGCACCTGCCCCTCATGTCGTGTTCATGCCCAGTACAGTGCCTGGCAGGCAGCAGAGATTTTCTGAATGAATGAAGAGATAAATAAAACCCCAGTACTGTGAATGGAGAGGGGAGAACAGATTTGAGTAATACTAAGTTGGTAGCAATGACAGATTTGGGGTTAAAGGGAAAAAGACATCTGGGATGGCATAGAGGAAGAAGAACCTGTAGAATTTGGTTTTGGAACAGTCTAGTGATCATGATGAGTAGGCCGTATGGGTCTAGAGCAGTCTTTCTCAACTTTTGTTTCATTATTGCCTCCCTAAAGGGAACAATTTAATTTCTCTGGAATGAGAGAATTTATCAGGAATAAGATTTTGTTGAATAGAGTTGAGCTTTAGTGGGTCACAAATCATTGTAATAACTAAGATTTTTTTTTTCACTCCCTCTCTCTACCTGAACCGGTTTTTCCCCCTTGGGGACCATATTGCCTCTGTTAAGAATACATGGTCAAGAGTTTGGGGGATTCTACCCCGGAGATGCCAGAATTGGGTGTCATTTCTCTTACTTTCTCTGCTCTCTCCTTGTCTTTCTTACTTTCTATTTCATTCTCTCTTCTTTGTCTCTTCTACTTTTTCTCTTTCTTTCCCTTCATCTCCCCTCAGCCAGTCCATCAGTCAACATATGTTTATGGAGACCCCATTCCCTGATCATTGCTACTGGGGCATAGAAGAGAAGCATGATGGGAGTTTGCTTCCCGATCATAGGAGAGGGGCATGGGGAAGAGGAGCGTGATGGGTGGGAGGCTTGCTACCTGCCAAGAGGAGTCACATCACTGGGGAGAACAAACGTTTAAAGAATGGTCCTGGGATAAGCTCTTGGGCATGTGAAGGCTGATTTCAGGGGCAAATGCAGAACAGCCACTGTTCCCTCCTCTCTCATTCTTCTGTCTCTTTCCAGGGCTCACTACCTGGCTTCTGTCCCAGCTTCCCAGTGTGTGCCCTTTCTGATCAGCCTGGGGAAGAGTCGGTTGGACTCCTTGGTTTTAGATACCCACAAGAAGAATTCAGTCCTTAGGAAGGTACAGCAGTGCCTGGTAAGGAAACTCTTTCTGGTTGGCACTTTCCCTGGGGTCCCTTCCCCTCTGGGTATCTTGGCCATCCTGGGGAGCCCTCAGGGAATCTGGCTGGGATCTTGAGCTTGTGGTGATGGCCAGAAGTCTGACTTGTGGGTCTCAAAGCTGGTCCTGGAGCCCTGGGTGGGACAGTCTTGGCCATTGGTTTTGAGGACTGTCATCCTGGGACTTGAATGATGGGAGGCTGGTGTGGGGACTAGAAAGATCACAGTACACAGAGTCTGGGATCTAGACTGGCCTCTGGCAGTGATTGTTTGTGTGGCTTCCAGCAAGCCACTTCCTCTCTCTGAGCCTCAGTCTTCTCATCCCTAAGATGGATGCAAGAGCACTTCCTGCACAAAGTTATTAAGGGCATGAAATAGGCAATATATTCAGTGCCAAGGCCCAAAGGGTGGACTGTCTGAGTGTAAATCTCAGCCTTGCCACTGGCTGGCAGTTTGTCTTTAAAAAAGTGAATAATACAGGGGCACCTGGGTGTCTCAGTCGGTTAAGCATCCGACTTTGGCTCAGGTCATGATCTTGCCATTTGTGAGTTCGAGCCCCATGTCGGGTTCTGTGCTGACAGCTCAGAGCCTGGAGGCTGCTTTGGATTCTGTGTCTCCCTCTCTCTGCTCCTCCCCTGCTTCCACTTTGTCTCTCAAAAATGAATAAATGTTAAAAGAATTTTTAAAAAGTGGGTGATATTAGTACTTATCCCTTATTACTTTGAAGGTGGAGATTAAGACCTGGCATGTATTAAGCACTCAAATGTTACCTACTTTGGTCATTTGGGGAAAGAGCCTTAGAGGTTTTCTAGTCCCATCCACAGTTTGAGGTGCTGTTTTTATTATTGTTGTAGTATTAGAATGGTTGTTGAACTCTGGGGTAACCTCCCAGCAGTGGCACCAGTGACGACATCAGCCCTCATTTATGGAGTGTCCACCATGTGCCGAGTCTTCTGCCCTCACCGGCCCCTTGGTGGGGCCTTCTAGCTCCCGAAGCCTGCATCCCTGGGGTAAAATCAGACCCTGTGCTGTCATTACTAGTCCATGGTGGGGCGGGTGATTCAGATCCTGGAACCTTGACAAGCTTTGGGATCGGGATGGGTTGTTGAGGGGTCACGGTCTTGAACCCTGCTGGATCTTCCCATCAGCTCCACTTGTCGGTTTCAGAACAACTCCATTGCCGACGAGTTCATGGTAGACATCGTGGGAGACCTGCTCTGCCACTTGCCGGCAGCCACCATCCACCACGGGGTCTCCCCCCGGGCCTGGGCCACAGCCCTGCATAGACTCCAAGACTGCCCGCACCTCAGCCCGGAGCAGAAGGCTGCAGTGAGGCTCAGGCTCCTGGAACAGCAGGGGTGAGGAGGGGCTGGGGCTCGCTTTGGGGTGGGGTGCAGGCTCTGGGGCACCGAGCCCTGGTGCTCCTGCCCTTAAAACAGAGACAGTCTTGGGGTCCTTGGGTGGCTCAGTCGGTTAAGCCTCTGACTTCAGCTCAGGTCATGATCTCACGGCTCGTGGGTTCGAGCCCCACGTCGGGCTCTGTGCTGACAGCTCAGAGCCTGGAGCCTGCTTCAGGTTCTGTGTCTCCCTCTCTCTCTGCCCCTCCCCAGCTCACACTCTGTCTCTCTCTCTCTCTCTCTCTCTCTCAAATAAGTACCATTAAAAAAATTTAAAAATACCCCGAAAAACCCAGAGAGAGTCTCTAGTTTAGGGCAAGGTTAGATGCTTATGTTTATTCTAGAAGGGTCTGGCTTACATTTATTCTAGAAATGTGACCTTTTTTTGGCCTCAGATGCCCTGTAAAATGACAGTAACAGTGGCCACTCATGTGGTTGTCACCAACACATCTTGGCTTATGTAAAGTTTTTGGAACGATGGCACTTTACAATTGCAGGGAGGTGGCATTATTGTTCTTGTGAAATAACAATGGCAATAGTAATAATGCAACTAATTGAACTACTGTCAGCTCAGTGGGGGAGCTCTCTGGGGGAACACAGAACTGTTGTCTCTCATGTAGAGTCTTCTGAAGTTAGGGCAGATATTTGAGTAGGGCCTAACCTGTCAGCGGTTAAACAGCAAATGTTTGTGGAGCAATTACCATGTCCCAGGCACTGCCCTTTTATATACAGTTTAAGATCATGGACTCGGAAGGCCGACTCCTTGGGTTAAAATTTTGTTTGTATCATTTATTGTGTGTGTGACCTGGGAAAACCTACTTAATCTTTTTGCACTTTAATTTCCTTTCTTTTAACATTTTTTTTTAAAGTTTATTTTTATTTATTTTGAGAGAGAGATAAAGAGCAAGCAGGGAAGGGGCAGAGAGAGAAGGAGACAGAATCCCAAGCAGGCTCTGTGCTGTCAGCTCAGAGCCTGATGCGGGGGCTCAAACTCACGAACCGTGAGATCATGACTTGAGCTGAAGTCAAGAGTCGGACGCTTAACCGACTGAGCCACCCAGGCACCCCATGCACTTTAATTTCTACACCTGTAGGACGGGGACAGTAGTGGAAGAAGAAGGGGAGGAAGGAAAGGTTGTGATATAAATGACAGAAATCCAACAATTCAATTCAGGCTAACAAAAGGGAATTTACTGAGTTCAGAAATAGAATGTAACTAAAAACTGCAGGGGTATACTTCACACATGACTGGATCCAGAGGCTCAAGCGATGTTGTCGGGAATATGCTCCTCCCATCCCTCAGCTCTGTGTTCCTTGGTGTGGCCTTTATTTTCTGCACTTGGTAACAGGAACCGCTTCCAATGTCCTCTTTACTGCTGGGGATACCAGAAGAAAGAGAGTCTAGTTCCAACAAAATCCCCAAGGGTGGCTTGGTGTCCTGCATGTGATATCCTGCATCACGTGCCTGTTTTCTTGGTCGGGGAAGTGGGACTTGTCCACGTATGAAATCTGTTCCTGCAAGAAAAGATTGCTGGGAGGGGCACCTGGGTGCCTCAGTTGGTTGAGCGTCTGACTTCAGCTCAGGTTATGATCTCACAGTTTGTGGGTTTGAGCCCCACGTCGGGCTCTGTGCTGACAGCTCAGAGCCTGGAGCCTGCTTCAGAGTCTGTGTCTCCCTCTGTCTCTGCCCCTCCCCCACTCACGCTCTGTGTCTCTGTCTCAAAAATAATAGACATTAAAACACATTTTTTAAAAATTTAAAAAAAAAAAAGAAAAGGATGCTGCGAGCCAGGGACAACAGCATGGTTTTTCAGTTCACTGCTTATCATCTCTTCGTAGACTCCCTGGGAACTGGACAGCTGAGACTACGAAGGACTTGGGACCCTTTCTAGTACTTTTCTCAGGAGATGAATTAAGCTCTATTGCCACAAAGGTACTTCTGTGGGGTTTACTGCCCCTTTGCTTTCTGGAACCTATCCTCCCTGCTTCACAGGGCTCAGATGTTTCCAGCTCCACTCCAGGATGTCTGAGGTTTGGGGAAAGGGAGTGAGGCAACAGCGAATCCAACTCTGGGCTTTTCACATGGCCCTTCAGACAGATGTGCACAGATGGGAGCTGTTAGCTACCACTCTGCTATCCATGAGCTTCCCACATGCATGCCTGTTCAAGGGCTTACACCTTCCAGTGCCATAGGCACATGCACACTTCTGTCCAGTGTGTATAATCACGTGCACAAACACATTTAATCCAGAACCAGAACCTCATGGGGCATTGCCTTTGGGCACACGCTTTGCTTGGAGCAAGTCTCCAAAATTAGACGGTCTAGACTAAGAGTCATGCCAGATAAGCATAAATGCCTCATCTTTTGCTACATAATGAAGCCACACAATCTCACTGGCATACAGCAATAAGCATTAATTTCTTGCTGACTGGTCTGTGGGTCACCAGGACAGTTCTGCTTCTGGGGCCCAGGCTCCCTGGGGCTCGTTCCTCTCACCACGAAGGTCTGAAACTCCAGAAAAGGGAGCACCGAAGTGCAGTTTTTCTAAAGCCTACACAGGGAAATGGCACACTGTCACTTTCCATTGGTCAAAGCAAGTCACATGACTGAGCCCAACCTCAGGGCGGGGATAGGAAGTAGTCTCCTTCATGCACAAGTGGAGGGTGGGGAGGGAGTGAATGTTTCCTGGACAAGACTCAGATGGACTGCAAGGCACGTCCACGTGCTCTCATGCCTGTACATGCACCTGCAAGATGTACATTGTCACCTGTGCTCAGAAGGACCTGAACGTGGCCTATCACCCAGGTTCACACATATGCACAGCACACATTCCAGTGTCCATGCATGGTAAAATCATCTTCTGGTGTGTCCAAACATATAGTCATAAGCAGCAGATATATACATACATATATATATATATTATACACACACACACACACACACACACACACACAGACATATACATATATATATGATATACTTATATGCGATATACTTACATATTATATACTTATTTTCTAAAGATCAACTTTTGAAATGGAAAAAGTTTTGTCTCCAGATGGTTACATCTCAAAAACACAGTGTAAGGTAGGGTTAAAAAAAGGCAAGTTGCAAAAGAATATGTATAGTAGGATACTAAGTAAATTAGCAGATACTAGTTAAATTTTGTTTTCACTGTGAAAATGCTTTAATGGTGGGTTTTTTTTTCCCACTGTGGAAATAGTTACATTAATTTTAAGTACATGCAAAACAGTTCTACATGTAAGACAAGTTTAGGAGTGCATGAGGATGGTTAGTGCTCAATTCAGGGTGATGGTTCGTTCCTTCTCTGGAAGGAAGGAGACCAAAGAGTGAGGCAAGGACCCATCAATTATATTTGTGATGTTTAATTTTTAAGCTAGGTTGTGGGTACATGGGTATTGTGTTGTATTATTCTCTCTACCTTTTTTTTAATGACAGAAATGTTTAATAAAACAAGTAGTACATACTCCTGTTAAGAAATTTCAACTGTACCAGAAGCTACAAGATGACAGGACGTCTCCCTCCCACTCCCCAGCCTGCCTCCCCAAAGACAATTGCTTTTCCTAGATTCTTCTGCATCCTTCCATAAAAACCCTCCTCCTGCTTATATGTGTTCTTCCTTTAAAAAACGCAAAATGGAAAATACCATTCACTCTACTGTGCATGTTGCTGTTTAACAGTTAACCATGTCTCTTGTGAGTTGCATGTGACCTTAGCTGCCCATGAGAATCACTGGAGAGATTCTAAAAGGACACATACATGGCCTCCACCCCAGGCCAATTGTCTTAGAATCTCTGGAGTGGGGCCTGAGTATATGTAGATTTCCCAGGTGATTGTCACCTACAGCCAAGATGGAACTACTGGCTTAGAATGTGACTCAAATTCTGAAGGTTAGAACAGAAAGAGGAACTCTCGAAACCTGAGGTGCATTCTCTTTGGACCGAGTGGGACACAGTGATGCACAGCTGTGTGAGCGAGTTTGACGAATGCTCTGGGCTCATGAACACGTCTACCTGAGTCTTGACAAAGATCCTGAGTCTTGACAAATTGCATTGGTTCTAGATTAGAAATGGTACCTTCTCCAGGGTACCTCTGGAAGCCGCTTCATTGCTGGTTTCCACCCAGAATCAGACATAACCCTCTTTTCCTCTTTTTTAATGATAAATAGAAAGTTTAGTAAAAATTTAAAAACAGTACCAGATCAAAATGGGGTAGGCTCACCTACATTTTTTACAGAAATTATCAGGTTGCTCCAGTAATGATGCACCATTTAACAGTCCCATAGAAAAATAAATGTGTGTATTTACTGCATTTGTTCAGCATTAAGTAATAGCTTTTTTTTTTTTTTTTTTTTTTAGGTAATATCACTTTATTTTATTTTTGGCAGTCTGATAGGTAAAAAACAATATATACTCGTGTTATTGAACATTTATTGGATGCTATTGAGGTTAAGTATTATTTTATATGATTCTTCGTAGAGAACAAATTAGTTGAGCTAGGAGATAAATTTATATAAGAAGCTGCTATAAAAGAAAAACAACCCCTGAGGGAGTAAGTAGTATCACAGTTTAAGTCTGTGTTTAATGTGCTTTAATTATTATTCATTCCTCCTCCTTCCTCTTCTCCCCCCCACACAGTTTCCTGATATCCTTCAACAAGCAGCTTCCAAGATGGCCGGGACTTTGCTCCCCAAAGAATTCCTCTGGGCTGTCTTTGAATCTGTCCGGAACAGCAGTGAGAAGAGCCTCAGCTCTGACCCCAGCCCTGGTGAGTGTTTCCGGGGTGTCTGAGCTGGAGCTATGGTGGCAATGTTTGGGCTGAGTCCCTGGCACGAAGAGGCCTCCTCGTCCAGGGGGCTGGTTGAAACGTTTGCAAGGCAGTGGCATGGCAAAAAGCCGTAGACCAAAGAACTACACCTTTGGAAAAGTGATTTGGAATCACGTCTTCCACTCCTTCCCCAGGCCAGTGGGTTAAATGGTGAATGCGTGCAACACACATTTCAAAAAGATTGACTTAAAGGGTCTAAATGGCTGAGTGACTGGGCATTGCAGTGCTGGGGCCAGGCTGGCCGGTGTGAACCTTGGATCTGCTGCTTACTGGCTGTGTGCCTTTGGGTAAGCCCTTTAACCTCTCTGTGCCTCAGTGTTCATCATCTGTAAGATGGGGACAATGAAAGTCTCTACCTTATTAGGTTATTATGAGAGTTAATGGATTTGAACCTGTAAATGTGTTCACAACATTGCCTGGCATGTAGGAAGTGCTCAGTAAGTGTGAGATACTTTTATGACTTTTGTGCACCCACGAAGCACAGACTTGTGCCAGGCAGGAGGAGGCAAGGTTAATCGGACCCAATCATAATTGTAATAATAATCATTGGCAGCCAGTGCTCCCTTGCTTTCCTGCAACAAATAATTACTGAGCGCCGGCTCTGTGAACAAAACAGACAAAAATCCCTGTCCTGGCAGAGCTTACTTCCAAGGGACCTGGGGGGGAGGGCAGGTGCCAGACAGTATAAATCACACACACAGTAAGTAAAAGACATAGTAGATGGTATGATGATGAGTGCCAAGAAGGAAGATAAAGCAAGGGAAGGAAGGGGGTCAGGGGGTGTGGGGTGGGGGATTATAATTTGAAAAAAGATTTCAGATTCTGTGTCTCCCTCTCTCTCTGCCCCTCCCCTGTTCATGCTCTGTCTCTCTCTGTCTCAAAAATAAATAAACGTTAAAAAAAATTTTTTTTTAAATAATAATTTGAAAAAAGAACGGTGGATGCGGGTTTCACTGAGAAGGTGACCTTTCAGTAGACTCCGGGAGTGTGGGCGTGGACTGTGTGGACATGTAGTGTTGGGCTCTTACGGGCAAATAGAAGTGTAACAGGAACGAGAAGGGATGGAAAATGAGAGGCCAGTGTGGCTGGAGCACACGAGAGGCAAGGCCACGTGGGGCCGTATAAAGGAAGTCCTAAGGACTTTGTCTTTGTCCTTGGGTTGGGGTGTCATGGGGGAATCGAGCAAAGAAGTGTCACAGTCTGATGTAGGTTTACCTCGGGTGGTCCTCTCCCCATGCCCTGTCTCACCTCACCTCTGTACTATGATGTGGGTGCTGTGCTTGCTCCCATTTTCTTGACATGGGAAACTGAGGTTTAGAGGGGATTAAGAGACTTGGCCAAAGTCACTGAGTGAGTAATGGCAGCTCTTGGATTCGTACCAGAGCCGGTGGTGATCTCCGTTAGCTCCTCCTGCCCTCACGACCTAGCAGTGCCCTTGTCAGACGGCAGTGCTCCTACTCTGTGCATGTGGGTGTGCGAAGGTAAGACATGTCACATGCTGGGGAGGAGCCTCTGTTACCAGCACACCATTGGGATTTTCTTTGGTGGTTCTGGGTATTAGTTACTGCCGCGCTTATAGTAATTAATGGATTAGCAGGCTTACAACTTGGTTTCATTTTAGTTAATTTATATGTATGTGTTGATTCATTCAACAAATATTTGCCAAACACCTACTATGTGCCGGGCCTGGAACACAGCAGTGATAATACCAAGTCCCTGCTGCACTATTTAACCATTCTGTTCCTCTCTAATTCTTTATCACTGGATCCTGTTTTCCTGGGAAAGTGGGGTGGAGTGGGGGAGTCTAGGAAGGAGGTGTCTTTTGTGATAAAGATGCTTGAGGACCACACGTGGTGCCCTTGATCTGGTCTGATTTCCCCTCTTGACCAGAGTCCAGTGAGTTGCCATTGGTAAGGGAATGGCCACAGAGCTTGGGAATGCCCTGGCCTAGGTGGTGCTGGTGAGTCTGCGAGCCTCAGAGATAGACAGCTGGTAAGACAGGAAAGCCAGGATTGCTGTCAAGATAAGGAGCCCTGGTGGCTCTGGGTGGCTCAGTCGGTTGGGTGTCCCACTCTGGATTTCAGCTCGGGTCATGGTCTCACAGTTCATGGCTTTGAGCCCCTCATTGGACTTGCTGCTGGTAGTGTGGAGCCTGCTTCAGATTCTCTCTCTCTTGCTCCGTCCCTCTCCACCTCACTGTGTTTCTCAAAGTAAATGAATAAACTTAAAAAAAAAAAGAGAGAGAGAGAGAGAGAGAGAGAGA